GCCACTATGAAAAACAGTATGAACATTCCTCAAAAAAAAAAATAGAACTAGAAATAGAGTTAGTATATGATCCACCAATCCCACTTCTGGCTATTTATTTAAAAGAACTGAAATCTAGATCTCAAAGAGATAATAGTGTTCCTTTGTTCATTATAGCAGTAGTCACATTAGCTAAGATATAGAAACATTGCCAAGACCAATGCCCATCAACAGATGAATGGATAAAGAAAATGTGATACACACATGCAATGAAACCCTATTCAGACTTGAAAAAAAAGAAAATTCTAGGGGCCAGCCGAGTGGCTCAGTTGGTTAAGAGCGTGAGCTCTGAGCAGCTGGGTCGCTGGTTCAATTCCCACATGGGCCAGTGAGCTGCACCTGAGCTGAGCTGCTGCTGAGCTGCCAACAGGTGGTACGATGGCTCAGCTGGTGAGAGCACGTGTTCCTAACAACAAGGTTGCCAGTTCGATTCCTGAGTGGGTGGTGGGCTATGCCTACCCACAACTAATATTAGAACATGGAATCTTGAGCTGAGTGGCTGCGAGCTGCTGACGGGTGGCTGGATGGCGACTGGACTTGGAGCCGAGCTAGCTGCACCCTCCACAACTAAGACTGAAGGACAACAACTTGACTGTTCCTCTCCCCCAACTCCCCAACACTGTTCCACTTCCCCAATTTCCCAATAAAACCTTAAGAAGAAGAAGGAGGAGGAGGGGGCGGGGAGAAGAAAATTCTACAATATGCAGCAATATGGGTAAACCTTGAGAATACTAAGCTAAGTGAAATAAACTAATCACAGAAAGAAAAATACTGCATGATTGCACTAAAATGAGGTATCCAAAAAGAGTCAAAATCGTAGAATCAAAGAGTGAAATGGTGGCTACCAAGAGCTGAGCAATGGGGATATGGAGAGTTACTAATCAACAGGCATAAAGTTTCAGTTAAGCAAGATGAATAAGTTGTAGAGGTACCTGTACAACAGCATACCTATATAATATTGTATTGTATACTTTTGTAACAATACAATATTGTATTGTACACTTTAATATTTCTTAAGAGAGTAGATCTCATGTTAAATATTTTTAAGACAATAAAATATGTTCTTTAAAAATGAAAGCGGAGGGCTGACCGGGTGGCTCAGTTGGTTAAGAGCACAAGCTCTGAGCAGCAGGGTCACCGGTTCAATTCCCACATGGGACAGTGAGCTGCACCCGAACTGAGCTGTTGCTGAGTTGCCAACAGGTGGCAGGATGGCTCAGCTGGGAGAGCACATGCTCTTAACAACAAGACTGCTTGTTTGATGGTGGGCTATGCCTGCCTGAAACTAAGACTGAACTCAGCACCTTGAGCTGAGCTGCTCCCTGGGTGGCTCAGTGGATAGAATACGCGCTCTTAACAACAAGGCTGCTGGTTCGACTCCCACATGGGGTAGTGGCTACACCCACCAGCAACTAAGATTGTAACACAGCACCTTGAGCTTAGAGGCCATGAGCTGCTGACAGGCAGCCAGATGGTGACTGGCACCCTCCACAACTAAGATTGAAGAACAACAACTTGGCTGGTCCCCCTCCCCAATTCCCCAACGCTGTTCCCCTCCATCAACCTCTAATAAAAGCGGAGTTAAATATTTATTGCTTTTTAAATTAGTTTCAGGTGTAAAAAACAATGTAATAATTAGACATTTAACCTCTCACAAAGTGATAAACCCCTCTCCCACAATCTACTACCCCTCTGACATCATATATAGCTGTATAGTCACAAGATGTGGAGTACAGCATTAGGAATAGAGTCAATGGAGTTAAATATTTAAATGAAAGAAATAAAATAGTAAAAGTTTTGGTTAAAATATTTTAAAATTCTACATAAATATAAAAAAATTATAAATTATAAAGTAGTCTGACACTGGAGCAGCAATAGAAAAGTAGAACCATAAAAACAGATGAGAGAGTCCAGAAACAAACTCAAGTGAACATACGAGTTAATAATGATTAAGGTGGCATTTTTAATCAGTGAGGAAAGAACAGATTGTCTTTTTGGCAAACTGACCACTTAATGGTAAATCAATGAAGTCTGATCCACACTTCACATCATATGTACGAATAAATCCAATTAGATTAAATACTTAAACGTGAAAAATAAGTTTATAAAGAGCTAGGTCCAAAAAATATAGTATATAAAGCTATACACTATACTATGTATAGCTGCATTAATAAGGAACTTATGATGTTTGTTTAGGATACACATTTACATTGGAATAGAGTACAGAAATAAACCCACATATTCAATAAGAAAAAGATAATATTATCAGTAATGATAATGGGACAATTGTATTGCTCTAAGTGAAAAACAATACTAGACTCTTACACCATTTAAAAATTAACTCAAAAACTAAACATAGATTTAAGTAAAAGAGATAAAACTGCTCTCTGCAAGTTTTCTCCTTAAAAACATAAATATAGGGCTGGCTGAGTGGCGCATTTGTTAAGAGCTGGCTTGGGATGCCAGAGGGCCCCGGTTTGGATCCCACATATGAGGGCCAGTGACACTGCCCTCTACAGCTAAGATGCTGAACAACAGCTTAACTTGGAGCTGGGCTGCCATGAGTCGCCGGCCATGGCGATGGCGTAGGCTGCAGCCTCTGCTGCAGTGGGTTGCCATGGGCTACCGTGTGTGGTCAGTAGCCAGCGTGAGTGGCCAGCAGCCGCTGTGAGCGGCTGTCCAGAAGTCGGCGACTGATCTGCCTCACCCGGGAAGAGCGCAATGATGGTGCCAATTTGGGCCAGTGAAGCAATGTCCTCTACAACTAGACTGAAGAACAAAACGACAGCAACTTGTCTGTTCCCCTTCCCCCAATTCCCCAATAAAAATCTTAAAAAAAAAAAAACCATAAATAATATGTGACTTTTGGTTTAACAACAATTTCTTAACTATGACAGAAAAGGGTGCGAACTATAAAATTTACAGATCAATAAATTGGATTTCATCAAAATAAAAAATAATCATTAAAATATACTGTTATGGAAATAAAAAGACAACCCACAGACCAGCAAACATATTTGCGAATCATATACCCAACAAAATTCTTGTATCCAGAATACATAAAGGAAACTTAGAATTCAATAAGGAGAATGAAAACCTAATCAAAATATGGGGAAAATATTTAAACAGGCACTTCACCAAGGAAGATATATAGGTGGCAAATATTACATGAAAAGATGATCAATATATTTCATTATTAGAAATATGCATATTAAAATCACAATGAAATACCACTACACACTCACTAAAATGGCAAAAACTAAAAAAATAATAATGATTAACTATACATGGCAAGTGTTGGTGAACGTATGGAGAAAATTGAACTCTCGTACTTGCTGGTGGGAATGCAATATGGTACAGCTATTTGGAATACAATTCGGTGGTTTCTTAATAAGTAAATTATATACCTACCCTGTGACTCAGTCATTCCACACCTAGGTGTTTGCCAAAGACTAATGAAAGCATTTGTCCACTCAAAGACTGGCAAACAAATGATCAGTGGCAGCCTTATTTGTAACAGCTAGTATCTGGAAGCAATCAAAATGTTCATTAAGAGGTGTTTGAATAAATGGATTGTTATAAATCTATGAAAAAAGAATAGTAGCAATGAAAGGAATAAGCTGTTCATATACACCACAACATGGATGAATCTCAAAATAATTACACTGGATAAAAAAAGCCAGGCAGAAAAGGATGCATACTGTATGACTTCATTTCTAGGATGTTCTAGAAAATGCACGCAAAGCTCTAGGACACATAGCTGATCAGGGTTGCCTGGGATTCACGAAGGTGCGGGGAGGGAAAGGAGTGGCTACCAAAGGGGCACGATGAACTTTTTGAGGGTGAAGGATATATACGCATTCTGTTGATTCTGATGAAGGTTTCACAAGCACATAATTTGTCAAACTAATCAACTCTAACGGATTTCTATGTACATCAATTGTCTCACTAATTTTTAAAAAGGAAAATGAAAACTCCTCACAAAGAATAAAATCTCTAGGACCTATGGCTTCCAGTTCACAATTCACTGGGCCACTCCAAAAGGTAATTTAACAACACAAAATCCTCTTTAAATGCCTGCCTCAAACTCATTCAGAAAACAACTATTATTAGCATGACATCTGCCTTGCACTCTTTTTGTTAATACATTTGCTTACATACAAGACATATAACTTCTTTACGTAAGTCGGAATCCTTACTAAAGAGTTGTGCTACAATGCTGCTTTTTACTCAAAGATATGTTTAGAAAGACAGAATCTGCTGCACTCTTTAACAAATACACAGCATTAAATCAAATGGATGTACTTCTCTTTATGATGCTCTGTTGCTGGACTCAAGTGGGGACTTAAAGACCTCTTCATACATCTATCTTTGAGCACTGATTTACTTCTAAACTACTTTCTAACTTGCCAGATTATCAACAAAATAGTAACTTTTTCATTTAACAAACCATCACTTAGGTACTCCTCTATGCCCAGAACTAATATACAAAAAAAGGATAATATGTGGTCAGTGTTCAAAAACTACATTGTACTTTAGGGGGAGAGACATGCAGGTGAACTATCACAAGGCAGTAAGATAAATACTCATAGACCCAACACAAGAGACTGTGGGAAACAGCTAGAAGTACCCCAGCCTTGGAGAAATCAGCTAACTTCTTCTTGTATCTTTCTCTTCAAATTACCGTACACTTCAGTAGAGCTTGCACCTTCTCTTCTAAGTCTTTCTCTTTCCCCTAAGGCATGCCTAGAACAGGGCTCTTGAATAGTAATGCCTCAATTAGAGCTGCTGGCCAATGGACTGAAGTTATGCTTAGCACAATATGCTATAACCTTCTGGTCCACTGGCTGAGCCCAACCCCACCCAGAGAGGACAATAAAGACCTGTGTTCAGAGTCGCACTGAATAGAAGAGTTCTGGACTCCATAGAGCCCACTGCCTGTCTACTGTCTTTCAAGAGCCATGAAGTCCCTATTACTCACTCTTGCAATTGTTTTGCTCCTGGCCCAGTTGATCTCAGGTAAAGAGAATCTTGGGGTAGAAGAAACACCATTCTAGAACAGGGTCCTGCACATGAAGTCCCTATTTTCAGACTGGCCATGGGAGTGGGGGCGGGCTCTCACTGGGAGGAGACTGAAGTTTGCCTTACTTCTTCAAACACCTCTGTTCTAAGAGACCTTAAGGCTCTCACAGTAGAGCAGTGTCTCTAATTGGAGCTGAGGGAGTTTAGTGAGAAGCCAAGGACAGAGATGATCCTGACATCCCCAGCTTCCCTCTGTCCTATCACTTAGGGCCAGTTCTCTCCAGCTTTGCCTCACTTCACTTTGTGTGGCACCAGCTATTATGTACTGCAGCAGCAATTCCTTAATATTACTTCTCCCAATTCCTTGGTCTTACAGAGAAGGTCTCCCCACACACACACACTTTTTTTTTTTCTTTGAATGTGGTGAACCGGACAGGGGAGGCTATTTCTAAATATCTATAGAGCTGTAAGGTGGAAAAGGGAAGAAAAATATTCTGAGTGAATAGGGAAGAAAGATTCAAAACTGTTGGAAGTCCTATGTGAGATTTCATTTCTACCTATATAACCATTCCTTCTTTTTAAATAATTCTTTAGTTTATTTTACAGAATTAAAACAGGAACTCTGAAAGCATTTTAGAAATAAAGAAAGTGGCCACCATTTCATTACTGATTACATTTCTCAAATTGTGACCAAATGATGTACAAGATTATAATCTGCCCTTTTTTAACTTAAGATTGTATCAGGAAATGTCTCACAGGTCTTTAAATATTCCTTGAAAATACAATTTGCTGTAGGTGCTTACTATTTTGTTTTATTTTTGTACCAATATTAACTGAAGAGTCCCTTATTATGTGTCATTTGAATTATTTTTTCCACTGTATCAATATTATAAATAACATTGTACAACCTTGTTAATATCTTGTTGTAAGATTCTCTGTTGATATAGGAAAATTTGAGAAGTTCCAGCGCATGGTCAAAGGTGATAAAGGAAACTAGCATATATTGCCAAATGTTACTGTTAGTGTGTTACTATTTTTAAATTTTCTATTTCATATTTCTTGCAAATATTTTCTAATTTATTGGTTACTTCTAAAAATTTTTATTGATTTATTTGAGGCATAAAATTTTCATCTTCATGTTGTCAAATCTATTGGTATTTCCTTTGTATCTTTCCACTAACTTAGAAAGTTATTTTCCGTGTTGAGAACAACTTATTCATCATGCTTACAGGGTGTTTTTTTTTAATTTTGCTTTTTTATATTGGACTCAATCCCATATTTTATAGATGACACAAAGTGAGAAATAAGTTTTTTTGAGGAAGAATTTGAGACAGGTGGAGAATGATGTAACACCTGATTCTAGAGATATTACTTAGTGTTCTGTAGAATTTGCAGAACTGTTCATATTGATGGTGGAAAAGAGGTAATTAATAACAGTATGACAGTTGCCTCAGAAGATGTTTCAGGTCTATTGTATCCTTGAAATTCTATGAGTTTAAATGACATGATTTCTCCCTCTGCCTCTAGAACATTGATGACATGGATCACATATTTGCAGGGTGTCCCCTTTTTAAAACAAAGGACTTCAGAAAACCCCTCAGTTCCCTTTCTAGACAAACAGAAGCAATTCAAGATTATTCTGTAAGATTCTCCAAGTCTAACCCAACACCTAGAGGCATTAGAAATGAACCCTTAGAAAGGACATCTAGAAGAAAAATCAACAAAATGCCGAGGCCGACAGGAATCATGATGGAAAAGAAGGAAATTGATCTGAGGTTTCCATCCCCATATCCCAGCTGAAGAGCCAAAGAAAAATATTTGAACATTATCTCCATGGAGATGTTTAGGATAGTGAGAAAGCAGGGGATTGTGGGGAGTGGCTGCAGAGGAAGCTGAAGGCCAAGGACCATTATGAAGAGCCCTTGCAGACACAAAAGAAGAAACAGAGGGGATAGAGTAAGAGAAACCATGAAAACAAAGAAGTCAAGCAATCTTTCTACTCCTCAAAAATATCAGGTTCCTCTGCTCATGGCCTTTGCATATGCTATTCCTTCTTCTTTGCATTCTCTTCTAGATATTCACATAGCCGGACCCTTTTCATCCTTCATGTCTAGGGTTGAATGTCATTTCCAGAGGGATCATTTCCTTCGTGACCCCATGCAGAATTCTGATTTTAGGAGTGAGAGGCCCATACAGAGATCTAGGGATCTATGTATATACATAAATATTATGTTTGCAAAATTTCCTTTAGTCCTCAGAGGAGGATTAAACAGCGGAGAAGAGATAATAGGAGTGGTAATGGTCAGAACTCAGGAATGATTGATTGCTCTATTCACTTTCTCTCTTCTACATCACATTATTTTTTTAATTTTTTGCTCTTAATCACAATCTGTAGTTACTTTGTTTATACATTTACTAGTTTATTTTCTTTCTCCTTCTCCCCAGTATAAGAACTTCAGACCTTGTCTTTCTGTTCATTGTTTAGTCCCATTCATCTTGCAGAGTTCTTGACATAGTAGGCGCTCATTATATATTTGTTGGTTGAATAGAGGGATGAGTTAAGCAATGTAGAACAAGGTAAGAAAGAGTTCCAACATCTCTTTAGGGCCTTCTAGGTGTTATACCATGTGACAGGAGCATTTTAAATATGTTTATATAATATGTACACAGATACAGCCACGTCCTGTGGAATGTCTCCCTAATGAACATATTCTTAGAATTATCCAAGTTTAACACACTCAGGTTTATTCATTATTCACCATGGCTTTTGGTTTTTTATTTCCAAAATTTTGTGGAATGTATTTATATCTCAATGTTACATAGGTATAGCTATATGTGTATATCTACATATAGATACAAATAAAAATTATATTTATGTTTAACAAGACAATATATAAGACAAATGTAGAGTTACATTTTAAATACAATTGTAGGACCTCAGAAATATGTAAAGATAATTTGAAAATCTCACCAAGCAGCAACAAAAGCCATGTGTGTTTAGGTAACCGTGAGATAATTCGAGCATTTTGTATTTTAAAATGATATTTTTTAAACTTCTGTTTAGGTGTTAATGTGTGTTTTAATTACAGTTTCTGAAGTTGGTTTGGAGTTTCATACTCATAATAATGTGTTATATATTTTCCCATGTAAAATACTGGGAGATAGACACCTGGCATGTGTCTATGTGCAGCATTTTGGTTTCAGAGAGGCTGATACATACATAAAAAATTCCGTGTGTATATGTTTATAAAATTCTCATTTAATTCTCAGAGCAAGTTTTCATGATTAGGAAAAGTAAACCAAAGCAACTGGTAAGGGACTTGAATAATCAGTGTTCAGAAAACTGTTATTTTTATCTTTTGGGACAGACCTCTGGTCTAAACTATGTATATAATTCCTTTATACAGGTAGTTTCTTTATTAAAAAGTGTGCAAACAGATATGGAAATTGCAGGAAGAAGTGCAAAAGTGGAGAGATACAGGTACAGCCTCCGACTTCCATGTGCAGCAGTCAAAAACTGTGCTGCATTCTGCCTAGCAAAGAGCTTTCTCTCATCTGTGGTGACAACTTAAAGAGTACAGCTGCAGCAGGAACTGCAAGAACTATGGCGACCGCGGCGGCGACTACCCGGGTTCTGTCCACCAGGGGGCCCATGATCCCGGTGACAACGACCACGGCGGCGGCGACCCGGGCGGCGACGACCACGGCGGCGGCGGCGACCCGGGCGGCGACGACCAAGGCGGCGGCGGCGACCCGGGCGGCGACGACCAAGGTGGCGGCGACGACCAAGGTGGCGGTGACGACCAAGGTGGCGGCGACGACCAAGGTGGCGGTGACGACCACGGCGGCGGCGACCCGGGCGGCGGCGACCAAGGTGGCGGCGACGACCAAGGTGGCGGCGACGACCAAGGTGGCGGCGACGACCAAGGTGGCGACGACCCAGATGACGACGATCCGAGTGACGACGTCCCCGGTGGCGGCCGGTATTATTCGTGTCTCTTGAGCATTCCAGCCTCTGTCTCCTGACATAAGTAAGAGCTCTCGTTTATTAAAGCAAAGGGCCTCATTTTGGTGTCGGTTTTCTGGCTCCTTCCCACTCTCTCTCCTCTCAACAGTGTTTGGAAGGACATCCATCTCCATGGCACCCCCAGTTCCAGGGTAGGGATGCAAATAAGATAGCCAGGCACAGGGGAGGGTTAGTCCAAGGACGAATGGACAGACTTGGTGTCATCCTTGAAGACATTTTCCAGCCCATAGGTCCACAATCTGCCTGTGGCAGTCATTATCAAAACTTAAAGTGCATCAGAGACACCCGGAGGGACCGCTAAAACACATTTCTGGGCCTCACCTCCAGTTTCTGAGTCTGTGGGGGGATCTGAGAATTCGCATGGCTCACATGTACCAGGTGGTGGTGATGTATCCTGTCCAGGGACCACACTTTGAGAACCACTGGCCTGTCATCTGGAATGACTGAAGGCCTCCTTGTGCAGATTGAAAGCATTTCCTATGTGTTTTTGAAGTGGTTAGTGATACAAAAGCACTCCTACAACGTGTTTAGAGAGTCATTTTTCTTGTTAGATTTCCTAGGACAACCTCAGAATGTAGGTATTATAACCTCACTTCAGAGAAGAAGCAGCTTGATGTGTAAGCATTAGAGCTGGAACAAATTTAATCGACTACTTGAGAGCATCCTGTCACTACACCTTGATGTCCAATTTTCCCCTCTCCCTGGAAATCCTCAATCACAGATTACAACTCAGATAGGATGAGAGATCAGGATCTCTATAGCGTGACCTGAAGACTGGGAGAGACACTAACCTTAAGCTGTAAGATTTTTCCCTTAAGAGCTCTTCCAGTAAGAGAATATGGTGCATGACAGTCATCCACCCATGCCTCAGGCCCACTTCCCTGGTACCCGGAAGATGAGGGAGATTAGGAAATGTGGTTGCCTT